GATACATTCTAATAAAAAAAATTTATAATGTGAAGTAAATTATTTGATTGCATCATTGTTGTAATAAACTTGTGTGTTTTCATAAAGATTATAGTATTATTAATTAATTAGTTGATAGTTTACAGAAGCCTTGAAGAAATTTGTTTTTTAATTTAGTATTAGTAAACAAAATGTATGATTAAAGTTGAATATAAAGTCAATAAAAAAAAATAACAATATTTTTTAACATGATAAAAAAATGTTTTATGTTAAAGTATTTGAAATTTTTAAAAGTAGAAATAAACAAAACTTAATATTTGATGGTGTAAAGCGGTTTGTGGTGCAATGCGGACACATTTTGTGTTGTATCAACCATTTTGCTGCAAATTGCATAGATGAAATGATGGAACTTATTTACTAATTAAATAACGTAATATTTGTACTTGTAGGCAATATTAGAGTAAGTTAACTTCTATATCGATTTGTACCATAACCCAGTTATAAAATAAGCAATGTCTAAATATTTTCCTTAAGAAGGAAATATTGAGCATTTGTGTTGTAAAAATGAACAATATAGAATATATACATGAAACTATGACGTGAAATGGCATGTTGTTATAAACGGAAGCATGGGCTTAATGGGCCTTTGGGCCTTTAAGCGTCAATATATACCCATAATATAAATAATAAATTTTGAAAGGTGAAGGACAATGGGCCTGAGCAAAAGGAAGTTAAGAACAAAGTGACATGTCATATGGGTCACCAGGTCACAAAGTCGATTATGAGTGATGAAAGGAGTTGTGTGTTCGAGTCCTACACACGCTTAATAGACTCTAACAGTGTCAGTCCACATTAGGATTTAAAAAAAGGTGTCTCTTCGAATATCCACATGTCAAATAATTAATTAATGCATTAAAATTTACAAGTATAATAACTGATATTCGTAAGTAAACCTCTTCACCTCTTCTCTTCCTAGGCAGTACAAAGTTGACGGTTGGTGTGATTTAGTATCAGATTGGAGGTACTGATAGCTTGATTATAAACAAACAAACAACTATGGAATTTTATTCTGACATCCAGCAAGGTAATAATCTTGAGAGTGATGAATTCCGATGTCAACTGAAGCGTGATTGGGTACATAATCTTTTCATTAATTTATTGGATATTGAACGTATTGTATTTTTGTAATTATTGGTCGATGAAATTTTCATTATTTGTTTATTATGTTTATCAATTTGTAAAGGAATATTTTATATATATATATGATCTGTTGTCTTGTATGATGCAGAATGATATAACTATCAATGGTGGCTTTTATAGAAAATGGCGTTTTAATTTTAATATTATGGAAGAACATTTTCACCTGAAAGATCCTTTGGGGAATGTTATTAATGTGACAGTATATGAAAATGGAAATGCAATAGTCGGTTATTTTAGAAATGCATCAAGACTGATAAGACAATTTTATAAACTTGATGGTCTATATTTTGTCACCTTTAAGTACGATGGTGATAAGGTTTTTCAAATAAGAATCACCAACATCGAAGATGTAGACATTGAATATCGTCAAATTGATCCATATACTCCAAGCAAAACCTTCGTTAAGGTCAAAGTAGAATATGTGAAGATGTGGCAACGATGTGTGTCAAAATCGTTTGCATCTGAGAATAATGTACTGGTATGTATAAATATAAAATAAAAATGTAGTGAATGAATGGTTGATTTTATTTATTTTAACAATTTTATTGGTATATTTGTAATTACAACCTCTTCCTGTTAACTATGTCTGCGAGGTGATGTTAGCAGGACAGAGACACGTGATTTTGAAAGAGAAGGGTGGACTTATCATTTCATCTTGTCAAATATTATATGGGAAGAAGACATCCCAGAAGTATTTAGGTGCAGGGTGGTACAAGTTTTGCAGAGCACTGAAATTGATACCAGGAGATGAAATATCATTTTGGCACTTTGGAGTGCAGAATGAGCTGAAAGTTCGTATAAGCCGTGCATCATGAACAATTACAATAATAACGCTTGAGTTTTTTCAAGCTTTCTTTGGCGACTTGGTTAATGTTTTTGTTTGGACATCTACTATTGAAGTCGTATACAATTATTTTTTTGCAGTTTATGATCAATTATAACATTGCAATCTAAGGGTGTTGTTTTGTTTATTAATTATTTTGATATCTTTGCAAATATGGTGCTATAATAATGTTTTAACATAAGTAGGTTGAAATGTTATATTTGGTTTAATAATGGTTATAAACCGTAATTGTAGTTGAAATTGGTTTTAGATCCAATATTTTATGCGAAGATAGTTTTAAATGTACCTTTAACCTTGTTCATAATCTTAAATATACATTTCAAATAATCCTAAAACTTTTATAAAATTAGTTTTTATTGTTTTGAAATTGCATAACTGTTGTATTAAATTAGATGTATTTTAAAAAACTGATAGTAGTATTTATTAATTATTTTTAAGCAGCCTTTCAAAATTGTGAGTTTTGTAAAATAAGTTATAGTACATGATATAAGTTGTGTTAAAAACGAAAATAAATATGGTGGCAGTTATAATTATTTATTAATTATTAATGATTATCGTTTTTGTTGGTTGTAGTGTTGACTCAGCAACTTGGCAGTTATAATTATGACTTCCAGACCAATCTCTTAGGAGTGGTAAGAATATATATATATATATATATATATATATATAGACAATATGTTCGTCGAAATAATACTCTCATATTTTCAAAGGTGAACCACAACAAAGTAAGGATGAGGACAACATTATCACTGTTATTAGATCCTTTCAATCAGATAGAAGCTTGGTTGGAAAGAAACACTGAACACATGTGGAACCTATATCGAAGATGATTATGTCAATCCTGTCAAACTTAACAAATCATTCCATAGCTCTATTTTGCTTTCTACTTTGGGTTGCTAAACATCCATTTTTTGTTTTTGTTTTAGTTATCGTTTATGTAATGTAATCTAAACAATGACATTTCTGGTGATGTTTATATTTAAGCAAGTTGTACTAATATTACATACTAATTTACGCCATATTTTGTTTCACAATAATACACTAACTGACGTCAACATTTGTTTATACATACGGGTGTTATCAATCAATACAATTATTAAACAAATCCAAACTCCTAAGTACCTAATATAACAATGAAAACTCTCATGCTTATTTTATACGTCATTTTCAATCCTTTTCTTCAAATTTCATTCCACCCTATATATATATAACTATTTTCATACTACACAGTTCAACAATCATATATTTGTCACACATATGTATATATATCTGTCCATCGAATACCACCATATGTACAACACACCTGAATATGGCATATGCAGAAAATTGTTCTCACACACTGAAAATTAAAATTTTATCTTTCCACAACCAAAAATCATGATACTTCATTCACTATCAACCATCTCAACATCTTTGTCAACACATTACCTAAAAATCGTCAAACAAGTTACTTATGTGTTATGGTGCTTAACTATTATAATGTCAATTTTATAAATAACGTGTGCCATATTACACCCACTATGTCATAAATTTTCATATTACGAAAGCTCATATTGACGGTTTATAAACAACAAATAAATATGACCACTGCTAAATAGAACATACAACATAACATAACAGGTTAACAATCCAACGTAAATAAATAACACACTTATATCAATTAACAACTGTTACAATAACACACTTTGATTTGATTAAATTTCTTCTCCTTCAACAGCTATCGTCTTTGGACAATGAAAACCCCCTGCAAAACATTTATAACAAAACACATATTACTATTACTATTCTTCCCCATTGCTTTCACGTCAACTAATTGAAAACAATAACCATATTTCATAAAATATTATATTCCACCTTTTAAGCTCTACAAATATTCTTCATAACACACACTTCTTGCTGAAGAATTACAATCATTTGTCATCCTCAGTGATTGACTTATATTAATGGCATGTTGACAGGTACGCCGAGTATAACCAACAACTTTATAGCAACCACACCGTGTCACACGCTTGTGTTTCCTTCCAACAACACCATTGCACGTACCCACCCTATTATGCAATAGGGTTGTTTGCATCAATTCCACTACTATCACTGATGATATAATTAGTTGAATCACTCTCTTCATGTCCATACTTTCTTTTCAGCCACTGCATTTCTCTTGTCAGAATTTCTCTAACATTACAAACCTCATGGTAACTTTGACAAGCCAATTGGAACACTAATCTTCCACTCTCACATAAAAGTCCAAACCAACTCCTCCGCAGTGACCTTTTATCAGCATTTTTGATCATTTCATTGTCATTTTCTTTATAAACTCCCTTTGCCAATTTTGTCCATCTACTCAACAGAAGACAACTTGGAAGGTACTCAACCTGCAGGGACACCAGCACTGCAACAATGTGAGGACATGGTAAACCGAAAGACTCCATTGCAAGACAGGAACAACATATCTCCATTTTTGTTAGTTCCAAAGACACATTCCATTGTTTTGCTCTACGACCACACTTCATGACAATATAAGTTCTTGATGAAAAACATTGAATAATGTCAACCACTGTTAAAGATACTGACTTTAACAGTATTTTCCGAAAGACTTTAAAAACACTCCTGGTATATACCATTACTGCAAATTTCTCCAATTCAACTGTATGACTTACAGTTGCTTAAAATTCTCCATAAATTCTCTTAAGTTGTTTCTTGACTTAACGTACTTACCAATTTGAGAATGTAAACCCTCACATCTTGAGGTTATCCTTAACCCAGCAAAGAACTTACCCTTAATGTAAGCTATACACCACATCTCTTTCTTATTATATAATTCCTCAACCCATACATTACCTCTCAAATGAAACTCCTCAACGACAGAAGCCCACTTCTGTTCAAACTGTTCAGTGTCCAGGTCACCAAGCATGCATTCTTTAAACAATTTACTAAACCTTTCATTGCGAACATTGCATGTCACATTCCTCATTAAATGTCACCCACACAATCGATGATGAGCAGATGGGAAAACTTTCCTGATCGCATTCCTCATTGATATATCACCATCAGTAATCACACAATTCGGACACTTACCCTTCATTGCTGTTATAAATTGTTGAAGGACCCATACATAAGTATCTTCCTTTTCATTAGACACAACTACACACCTAAATACACACGTCTGTTTATGATGATTGACACCAGAAAAAACAACAACAGGCCATTTGTATTTATTCCTCCCATAAGTAGCATCAAAGGCAACAACATCTCCAAAGATGTCATAATCAATTTGACTCATACCATCACACCAGAATATATGCAACAACCTCCCATTACAATCAACCTTGTGACCCCAATATAGCTTCAGATCCTTTAAGCGCAACCTTATTAAGAATTTTTCTGCCTCCTTAACATCCCCATCCTGTCCTCTTCTATCTCTCTCAATCTAATTATACATATCTTTTTTACAAAAGCCAACCATGTCATAACTTCATCTTTGGCTAACAAATGAGTCATATATTTTGCAGGTTGGAATACCACTTTTCCTCATTCGACGCATCTGTTCAACATCACCAACATCCATTTTGCGATGTGACCTTAACATTCCAAAATAATTCTCATCAACTAAATTATGATTATGATCATCAAAGAATCGACAAACTACTCAGCACCCTCTATATACATCTAAACGTATCTTCATCTCTGCCTCACAGTCAAACCTAGTAATTGCTCTGTGCTCCCGAAGTCGATTGGGGTTACATCTGTAAATTTCTCGTCAAAAACTTTGGCTTGAACAAACAAATTGCTGCCACACAACATCCCCATTCTTATTTTTACCCCGTTTATTTTTCCTCACACTAAACCCATTAATTTTGCTATATTCATTATAAAATTTATAACCTTCCTCAACATTCAGAAATTCCATTCTCTTAATCTCAGTGGTTCATAAATCACTCAAATTGACATATCCATCCTTCTGCATATCGACTTCATCTGAACTTCCCATTTCCTCATCAACATTGCATTCCTCAACAACCTGTAACATATATAAATAATACACAAGTTACTTCAATTTTAACACTATGGTTATTCACTCAAATACACATAGCCTACACAAACCTCGTCGTTTCCTTCATCATTTTGAGGAAAATCTATGTTAAACTGATTTATATAATGGGTATTTTTTGTCTTTACACTCTTTTCGTCGTCCTATTCTCCTTTATCTTTGCACTGCATACGAAAAACCCTACCACTCTGCCACCCCTCTCACCAAGGCTTTGTTTAGGCTAATACAATTTCTTCCTATGATTCAACACTAGAATTCACCATTTTGCCCAATAGCTCTACCAATGCTTTCGCTTTTCTGTTGGTCACTAATGTAAAAACTTAACACATTTGCAACCACATGGACCTGATTTTAAATCAGTTCTCTGGCATAATAGATGTCATTATCCAATCACCTTCTACGCTCTCTACATTTGCATCGGTTGTGTGATAAAACCAATGTCAATAGGCAACCACATGGACCTGATTTTAAATCAGTTCTCTGGCATAACAGATGTCATTATCCAACCACCTTCTACGTTCTCTACATTTGCATCGGTTGTGTAATAAAACCAATGTCAATAGGCAACCACATGGACCTGATTTTAACTCGGTTCTCTGGCATAACAGATGTCATTGTCCAACCACATTCTATGTTCTCTACATTTGCATTGGCTGTGTAGTCAAAATGATGTCATTATGTGGCCACCTTTTATATATTGTGCATGCCCTCTTTTTGCATCGGTTGTGTGCTACAACTGATGTCATTTCCGAAGCACCTTTTACATATTGCACATGCACTCTATTTGTATCGGTTTTGTGTTAAAACTGATGTCATTTCACCACAACCTTTTTCACATTACGTATCTACTGTATTTAGATTAATTGGGTTCTAAGGTCATGTCTCTTATTGACAATTTCTTCCTTACTGTGTCGTGTTAACTATATCTACATCGGCTGTATGGGGCGTATTATGTTAATCAAATTTTATGTACACAACTTGTCACATTTACGTTATTAACCCTCTTCATCCTGCTCACTATTCATTCCTATCCGCATTTGTTTACCTTTTCAATATTTAATCTTAGTCATCCAATTTTAAACTATAACAATTAACGGCTCAATTTCAATTATTAATCACTTATGCAAAAGCTATGCTTTCCCAAAAATACACTTTTTACAAAAGAAGAGAGGATATTAGAATCCACCGATTCACAATCCCATTACTTCAAAAGTTATCTTGGAGAAAAGGAACACGATTCATGCATTGCTTAAAAAATTACAGACTAAATAAATATATATTAGATCTTAACTTTAGCTTAAGGTACATTTAAAAAAAATTAGAATATATATTTTATAATATTTTAACAAAAAATTTATAGTACGATATTTGAATTTTTGTTATAAATAAAATTTAAATTATTTTGTTATGGTTAGAAACTATCAATAATTTTGTATTTTAGACATTATTTATATATGTTAAATAAATAAAAATGTAATTATATGCATACAAGCACACACCTACACACATAAATGACTTTTTACATTAGTTAAGAACATACACAACCAGTAAAATAATAAGTAAAAATATTTTAAATCAATTATATAACTTATATAAAAAATGACTTTCTATATCAATTAAGAACATACAACAAAAGTATAATAAGTGAAAATATTTTAAATTGATTATACAACTAATATAAAAAATGACTTTCTACATCTGTTAAAGATCACTGACATAGTTGGAAAGATTAATAATAACTAAAGATTGAGTGGTTTAATAAAAAAAAATCAGCCACTTAAAAAGAAAAAAAAACTAGAAATAACTAAATTGTGTAAATATAACCAATATAACGTGAAAATATTTTAAATCGATTATACAACTTATATAAAAAAATGACTTTTTACATCTATGAAGGATAATTGATCTGAATTAGAGACATTAATACTAAATGATCAAAGATTAGGTAATTTGGTAAGAATATCTGCCAATTAAAAAGAAGTAACAGGAAGATGAATTAATCTCTCTTAAAGCTTAGAATAAACAAGTGATAATCGATCTCTATATATTTTGTATACTTATGAAAAGTAGAATTACAAGCAATGTGAATGACATATTAGTTGTCATAATAAGTGCTGAAAGGAGAAGTAACAAGATAAAAATCATTGCAAAGGAAACAAAACCATTGAAGTTCACACAGTGTGGAAATAAAGAAAACAAAGGTTGGGAAAAGAGGAAACAAAGGTTTTTTTCAATGTAACGTAACAGGTAGAGTAGAGTGGATTTCGAAGAGGCTTTATTAGATGGGAATAGCAATTTTTGCAAAAATTAAAAATTAAAAAAAAGAATTTTAGAGTTTTTAGTGAACTGGGTTGCGCCGACTCGACTCACAACCCAACCCAACTAGCCCACGACCCGACCCAACTAGTGCGTGACCCCATTCGCAATTGCATCGCATCGCGCCTCCAAAAATCGCGATTCAAAATCAAATCATACGATTATTGCGATTTCATCAATGATTCCATACAAAAACGATACTTGCATCATTCAATTGTTGAACCGTGATGTTTCGCTTGTTTTGTATCATAAGTATTGTGATACTAAATACAATGCTCATAACTTCTTTATTTTATTATGAACTAAAAGTCAAACTCCTCGTATTATCTAAGTACAATCATTTTTCATGAAGAAACCTAAATAATAAAACAACGATATTGATAAAAAAGATAATGGCTAGACTTTCTAAACATGAAAGTAATTTTGAAATTGACATGAGATTAACATTAAACATTTTACTGCACTAAACATTATAAATAATCAACTTAAGAGTAGAAATAGAAATAGAATAAGATGTTTAATAGGGGCCTACAACTAGACGCGTTTAAAATCCAAACTAGACTAACTTAAATATTTAAATGATAGGCTTAGTTTTAACTTTTTAAAAGACTAAATTAATTAAATAAATTATATTTAAACTTAAGAAAAACTTATTAAAAATGATTAGATTAGTCTATTTAATACTCAATAATTTTATAATAATATATAAAATTTATTTTAAAATAAATAAAATTCTAAACTTCAAAAATTCGATTTATTTTCTCATCATTAAAGTTTACCTTTTTTCATATGATCTAAAGAGCACCCACTTGGTGGTGTATATTTAGGGACCTTACCTTGTGAGTTATTTTTATAATTACATTTGTGATAAAGACAGAAATACTATTGAAACCAAAAATTATAGTTCTAGTCTAATAACTAGTACAAATCATACAAATAATAATTATTTCACTCAAAGAGTATATAAGTATAGGACATCACAATACAATACAAAATCTTAAGGTTATAGGTATATAAATTTATCTCTTTATAAACCTCTAACTTACTCATGTTTTATTCTATATAAAATTTTATTCACACTTGATTCCAAATAAAACTAATGACCTTAACTTTAGTTTCATATTAACCACTAATTCCTTTATTAATTTTAATTCATTTATATTTTATATAAATAAGAGTTATGTTATTAATTTTTACATCATCAATACATTGTTTATTTTTATTTATTTTTTTAAGAGAGTTTTTTTTGTTTGTTTTATTCTCATATTTTAAGAGAATTTTGTATTCTATCTTCTTAGTAAAATTATATTGAGTATCATTTTATTTTACTTATTGTAATTATTTAATTAATTTCAATCTCTTACTTTCGTATAGCGCATATTCTTTAATATTAGAATACTGGCTCATAGTTTAAAGATTTAAACAAAATTAATTTCATTACATATATCTTTCAATTTAAAAGAAATAAAAAATTATATAAAATTTATTTCATTAACATTTTGACAATTCGAATAATAAAACATAATAAAATACCACTACATTCCATCCATTCTTCTTCTTCTTTTTCTTTTGGTCTGACTTTCCATCCATTCTAGTAGTTTACCAAATGCAGCTTCATCAACATTAATGTCCCATCTTTACGAGCCCAGAACAATGACTGCTATAGGCATTGTCTTGTTCAGTGAACAACTTTACAAGTCAGACAATTATATATTCTTTATCTTATAAATAATAAAAGAAAAACAATGTTCTCTTCTCATCTTAAGTTTGGATGATGGAAGTGAAGCATTAATGTTGGGAAGAGTGCACCTAATCGTAAGTAAAAAATTATTAATGTAGAAGATCTAAAGAAGATTTTGGATGTAGAGGTGATGTTGAACCGGTGACTATTGATGATGCAATTTAATAAGTGAACATGATCATTGATTTAGATATGAAATTTGTCTTTATATTTAGCTTTTTATTTATTTATTTTTAGTCCCTTCAAGTTATTTTTTTAAGTTTTGATCTTTATATTTTTATAATTTTTTATTTTTATTTTTATCGCTAATATACTCTAATAAAGGTTGTCATGTGATACTTTTTTAATAAAGTGCATTACCTAGAAATACTAGAATGAAATTATAAAAAAATAAAAGGTAAAAATACAAAACACAAAAGACTAAGAATAAATAAATGTTAAAATATAAAAATTATTTTTCATTTTTAAACTTAATTAAGATAGAATTAAGCGACTCCTTGTGGATCTATAAACTAGAAATAGTTTGATATTTAATTTTCACCTCTTTAGATATGAGTAGTAGAGTAGTAGGCGATTCGAAGTGTAAACTACTAATTAATTGTAGACACGGCTAGAGCCTAAAATCAAGCTAAAGCGAGGTTGGACACACTGTCTTTTTTTCATTTCTTTTTATAAGAGCTTTGATATATTTCTTATGCTTACCTCTATGGTCTAACCCTACAACTATTCAAGATTAAAAAAAAAAAAGAAGATAACTAAATTTGCTAATAGGGTAGTTTTGTATATATTTTAAAATTATTTTTACAGTAAACAAATTTAATATTTTAAAATTAATTATTAAAAATGAAGACAGAAAAACTATTGTAATTTTTGTAAATTAAAATAATAATATATTCACTTTAATATAAGAGACTTTATGTACATACACATATACATGTACACACATAAACATTTAGATACATCCATACATAAATATTAAATAATATCATGTGTCAATTTTGATAAATAAATTTTTAATACTTTTTTATTAAAAATAAATTTAATATTCGCCTATTAATCAATTCAGATGGTTAAGCATGTATACATAATTTTATACAATTTTAACTTTTATAATTATGCAATCAAATTATAGTTATTAACTTACATTTTAAATAATATATTATTATTAAAATAAAGTAAGATAATAAAAAATTATTAAATTTTACATTATATTAAATTTTACAATCTTTTTAATTAAAATTTTAATAATTAAATTGATTAACTTTATTTTAATAAAACAAACTAAAAAATTATTTAATTAATTTTCTCTCTTTATCTTTGAACATATTTATCTCTAGATTTCATTGTCACCTCCACTATACAAGAGATTACTTTCATAGTTTACAAAAAAAAAAAAGTAAGATGATAAAATATTCATTAAGTTTTAAATTTTATTAATTTTTAAAAATTTATTTTTTTATAAAAATAAATTTTAATAATTAAATTAATAAAATTTATTTTAATAAAAAGTATTAAAATGTCACTTAATCTTCTCTCTCTTTATCTTTGTGTATATTCACCTCCTGTCTTCGTTGTCAACTCCACGGTACAATGGAAAGAAGACAGCTCAGAGTAGCTTCCAAGGAAAGCATTTGGATTCACCTAGTCCCAAAACCCACACCACATGATCATGTGATTCATGTCGTGTATATTTAGATATGTGAAAATGCTTATCAAACATGGAAAAGTCGAACTTCAATTATTTGAATAATTATTGGCCTTTTTTGTTCACCTAGAAATTATGTCCTCACATTACTGTTTATCTAGGTCCTACAACTTGGAATTTAGGACGCTGCTTCAAAGAATATTTGGCCCTACTATAGCTTAAGAGGTACAATAACAGATAAGGACATCATCCACAAAAGTAACCTTTTCGTCACATTTTCTCATATAATTCAAAACTCTTGGCCATCATTCCTCTGCTAATCACTTCATAACAGTGCTCAAACTCACCCATCAGTGTTGCCGTTGGGGCAATTGCATCATGTGTGAAATCAATTTTAAGTAGTCTATTAATTGATTTTTAGTTTTGATTATCTATGTATGATTGTACAGTTTATAATTTATAACTTTAATATTAAAATATATAAGAGCAGTTTTGACTAGATACATTCCTAGCATTGGGAGAGAAACAACGAAAATTTTATTGAGTTGAATCTTATTTTAAATTTATAACTGAAAATTGAGTGCACCTAACAATAAAAACTAGAACCATATAATAAATAAAAAAAAAAAGCACTCCTGAAAAGTAAGGAGTAGGAAAAGATATCGCTTTTCCAAGGCTCCACACAACACAATTGAGCCTCTTTTATGGCTTGCAAAGTAAATGCAAATTTATAGTTCTATATGTCCCATTGCAAAGACCTTCGGGAGATAATGTGAGACACATTAATAGTGGTAGTTCCATCAGGACTAGGAGGATAATAAGGTGAATCTTCAGCATATTCGGTTGGCATTGACATCCAATGCAGACTAGGTTTCCAATCTGCTTCTCTAAGGACCCTTAATATTTCCTTCACTACTACCTTGCTTCCTTCAGCTGATAAATGAACTCCATCCCTAAGCATTATAAATAACCAAAGAATAAAATCAATTGAAGGAATTGTAAAAGTTTAAAGTATTTTCTGCTGAGGATTGACATATACATACATTCATACGTACATTACTCTATGCATGTACCTGTATATGTATGTGAACATATATACTTACGTGAAACTAACATCTAACCAATCATCCCTTGTTTGAATTGCAGACCACAAATTAATGGCTTTGATATTCATCTCCTCACAAAGCTCCATTAATGCATCTGCATATTCTCCACATGATTCGTTGGTTCTTCCTGATTGTGTTGCACTGTATTCAATGCAACCAAAAAATCGTTAGAAACTTGTGAGGACTAGGAGTTCAAGGTTTGTGATGTGTAATGTAATTAGTCTGATGGGTAGAGGAGCAGAAATGTATTACTTATTATTCTAACACCTCCCCCCCCCCCCCCTCTAATTTATATATTTATATGTATTTTAAATAAGTATTATCTTTTAATTAAACCATTTTGTTAATGGTGTTGTTCTTCTCTTTGACTACACCAATTAAAACGATCTCCCCCCCCCCCATCTTCTTTTTATTTTTTCCATGTCACAAATAATTTTGTTTAGAAAAAATATTAGTCTTTAACTTAACCATTTATTAATGGTGTTCTCTTCTGCCACTTTAACTAAAATGGTTAAGTTAATGGGATAAGTGAATGATAATGTGTTATTATGATATTAGTTTTGTTTCGCCTTTTTGAAAAAAAGTATGGGTCAACATCGTGTATCTTTCTCGATATGATTTCTGTAAAAGATTATAATAAGCAAAAAGAACAGAATGAACCTGATTTTTTTGCGAATTTGTTCTTCGTTGATGGGAGGAGAGGTGAGAAATATAATCCGAATATGATCCGAGAGGCTCTGAAAAGCATCATGATTTGTGTCAAACTTTGTGGCAACAAATATAACAAGTATAGGAAGAAAAGTAATATTTTGTGCAAGCAGTGAATAAACAATACCTTTAGATGGTTTGCAATCTTCCTCATGTTTTCAATGTATTCTCCAAGGGGTACATGAGGACCAAGGCCAGATGAGTGAGGGTGAATAGAATCATTACCACCAAAGTAGACAATTACCAATGATGGTTGCACAGGCGCATCCTGAGTTTAAGAATAAGACAAATCAAAAAGGTCATTCGATTCTTCATATGTAACTCTGAGCAAGAATCCAAGCATTCACACTTGTGATTCACCAAAAATGTAGTTGTTACCAACCACATTGTGCAAAGCTGAATCCAAATCTAAAAAATAAACAAGTTGAGCATGTTAACTTGTCCTATTTTTCCTTTTGTGTGACAATTCCGAACATCAGGGGTAGGAGTCTTCAAGTTATAGTTAATGTGTAAGAAATTTGGAAAAAAAAATATACAGTGGTTAAGAATTATTATGTGTTTATAGTCTCAATTCATTTTTAATGAATTTTGTTAATCTCAACTTTTAAAGTTGAATTAAGCACGTATAAATTTTTATCAGGAAAAAAAAATTATTTTCATGTGATTAAACTCAGCACATATAAAGAATTGCAAGATGTAATAATTCGAGATCATAGTCAATTTGCATTGGTTGACTCTCTTAAAGGGTTTTTACGTACCAAAACAGTAAACAAAACAAATAATTTTAAATTTTATGGCAGAAAGAGAAAATATTAAGGGATTGAAAATGCCGTTTGATAAGTACCTTGGGGAAAACTTCATCCAGAACCTCCAAAGCACGCCTTGAATTCCAACCTGAGTATCCTCTCAAGAGTATATCAGCCTGTGTCCCCATGTCAATATTATATAAATCATGTTAATTCACCATAAATAGTTACAAAATGGTACGTTTAAATCTAAATATTCATTAATGATTCATTTATATTTCTCAAAGAAAAAGCGCTCAGATAGTCATGTAGCTTTTCATCTGCAGCCAAGTTTTCATCAGCTTTTAAAATCACTTGAATTAAGATTTTATATTTGATCTATCTAATTAACATAGAAAATAAACCATAATAAAACAAGAATTACATGGGGAAGAATATTCTCAATTGATAGTTAAAAACTAATTACTTTTAGAGAATTTTTTAGAAAAAAAGTTTGCTTCTATTACTAAAATAAGACACTTACATATATAAATATTATTAAAATAGTGTACACTCAAGATAACCTTAAATATGTGTGTTGGTAAATGTGACAATATCGAAAACTAGTGAAATTTTTTAACAAGAAACAGAAAATATAACTGTACTTGCAGAAGATGGGATTAATGTAGCTGCTGGTGTCAGTTATAAAATGAGGAAGGAGATAAAGGAAAAACACCTTTCTGCAATACAAATTAGCAAGAATAGCACCCCAACCACCATTATCGAAACTCATCTGAATTATGGAGGAGCCAAATAACACAATCTGTGGTCTCATTGGGCCTGGCATCTTTGGAAACTATGTGTTTTTTCTCTGCTGAATTTGTGGCTCAACCTCACTCAAACAAGTAAACACTAGTACTACCTAGGATACTACACCGACAATGGGATCTGCAATTTATAGACATGAAATTGTGAATATTCTTGCCTTTCTGCCCCTCACTTTATTCCAATTTTGCTGTCCCCCCCACGTTGTATGGTTGGATTGATGGTTAGCTGTCATTTATGTCATATTATATTGTCAATTTGCCCCCTCATGACCCATGACTTAATCAAGGATAAATTTTATTCAAACAATATAAGTGTATCAATTATGTTTCACTCTTTAGCATGGAATAATATGCTCTTATATTATTTTTTCAATTTTAATTTTTTGTATTAATTAATATTTTTGTTTTTTTAAATTTTATCTGTTCTTCAATTAAATATTGACGACTTCAAACTTTTAGTTACTTATACTTTGATTAATTTATTATATTTTTTGAATTATTAAGTTTACTCTTTCTCCTTAGAATCTCAATCAATATCATCTAATATATTAATTTTAGGCTACTCTCTTACATATTTTTTTAACTTTTTTAAATTTTAAATTTGTATTATTTCAAATTGAATTATACATGCATGTCTTTATAATTTTATATTCTAATGTTATGTTTTTTAGATTTTATGAAATAATTATGTATAGATCTAATATAATTTAAAATATTTTTTAATTTTATTTAGACTTGAATATTGCTACAAAACAAGAAATGCATATTGGCTTGTATTAACCTTTACTAATATTTTGATAAAATGTGCTATTACATTTTTTAATTATGTAATGAATAATGATGTATTAAAATTATTGCCCTGAATATTCAGCTGGTTGGTACGAATTGCTCTTATTAAAATGTTCATGATTGGACACTGAATATTCTTTAGGGTCCAATAATTGCACTGAATATGGATTTCTTTTAACAAATCAGACTTTGTTTTAATTGTATTATCCTTCTTGATGAGGCTATATTTACGTGGGCATGGACTCTGAAACATTTTATTGATAGAAAATAAAAAGCGCGTCTTAGTCTCGTTATTGTCATTTTTTAATCCATCCGTTCATTTTCTCCTGTTTTTAGAGTCTCTTTTTCATTGTTTAGTGTTACATACTTAGTCAATTATGAGATATTATTTTTTATACATAAAAATTATTAAAATAAATTTTATTTCTCACAAATAATTTATATATATATATATATGCACACACAATTAAAGTTAAATTATCATCAACATAATGAAAAATAAATATTTATTCATTTATTGTGTAATTAATTTTGTTAGTGTTTCCTATTTCTTTATGATTAATTCAATATGAAAAAAAAAATTAGTTCACTGCAATATTACTAATGATTTTTTTATATATATCAAACTGGTCCTTATAATTTGTCTTTAAAATAAATAGTACAATTTTACTATCACATCGTACCAACAATCTAACTTGTCAAGCAAACATTTCAAGACAAATTAATCGATATTAGTCCGTTAAATTTTTTATTCTTCTACGTGAGAGTGAATGAAATAAATTTTAACCATAAAACCTTATTATAAATAATTAATATTAAAACATATAAATTTTGTAATAAGTCACATAACTTTTCTAATGATCGTTTCATATACATCACACACACACTTGGTAAATATTATATAAAATTCTTTGTTTTTGTCAAATTTTGAAGAGTCGGTTAATTAAAAAATTGTACCAAAAAAGTAGGGATATTTATTTTCAATACAAAATTTGCTTATGATAAGCTTTAAAAAAAATTGTGAGCAAGCCGTCACCATATTGCAATACCAAAAATGTGATTGAGAACAGCACAAAACCTTTGACGAATAATTCTGTTAATTTTAATCTTTTAATATCAATTGGTGTTTCCTCAAAGAAAAAACTAATATGAAAAGGTGACTTCACAAACTAATTAAGACAAAAGTGTATGGGCATGAAATAAAAGAGAATCATCCACCTAATAGTATCTAAAAATAAGTGTATAAAATACCAAATCATTAAGCTTTGTTGCAAGTCTTACAAGCTAGCAAGCATGCTTTAAACCTAAACCTTTGTTGCAATATCACACATGACGAAAAAGGATATTCCAAAAGATTTCTTTTATTTACATATTTTTATGCTTAATCCAACCTTATGATAAAATAATAAGCCCAACGCATGAGTTGGAAAAATATCGCTATCTCATTTTTCTACAGCACGTTTCTAAAGTTGAAAATCAAACCTAATAATGTAAGTGCATTATTTTTTAAAATATTTAGATACTATTAAAGGCATAGGTGAGTGATTTTATGACCTAATTATCAAATAATGATAATAATCAAATATGCCTCATGAATCATGATGTCCAGACTCAGACCCTACAAAAACTAATTATAATAGCCAACTACGGATCACATGGTCATCAACATCACGATATGTCAACATTCTTATCAAGCAATATATAAACAGATTAGTTAAAGAACTGAAAATAAAATATATATATATATATATTAAAAGTATAGTTCAGGTATTTATAACACACATATAATATCTCAAATAAACATTAGAATAAAGTTTTCCTAAACTTTAGCCTTCTTATTTTTGTTTGAATTTACTTAGAAGATAGTAGATCAATTATTTTACTATCTCTACCATTCTATTTTTAATCAAAAAATTAATTTTACAAAAACACAAAAATTATATACAAGAATAACTTTAAATTAATCTAAAATAATAAGCTTGTAAATGTATTAAAAATCACCATAAGTGTAAGCATATGTAAAAGTATGAGTGAATAGTTAATTTCATAATTAGAATTACAAATATTTTTGTAATTCTATTGTTTTAACTTTTAATTTCCCAGTGCAATTTTCGTTGAATTGGATTGATTTATGATTACCCCTAAATAAGGGCATGTGAATATACCAAAAGAGCTATAACCTGACACGTATTTAATTGTACTTGATATAGACTTATTGTGTGTTAGTTTAAGAACTTTATAAAAATTTATTTGACAGAAATAAACTTAATTTAAACTCGTTATAAAACTTGTATATTATTATTATTATTATTATTATTATTATTAGTTTTTTTTATATTTGTCATAATTATTGTTGAACTAAATTTTATTATAATTAATATCTTAAAATTGTAGATATTATGGTCAATTTATGAGTAATTTTGTTGACTTTTTTTAATATGATGTTGTGAAGTAAATCTGTAAAATAAAAAAAATTTCTTTCTAAAAGATCATGTTAAGTTTTTAAGAGATTAAGTTATATCTTATAAAAGTTATGCAAAGTAAATATATCGTCAGACTATCCAAAACTAAGGTGAAACATAGACAAGAAATCGAAAAATAATGATCTAGGTGTTTATTTAAGATTCTATAGCAACGTAAACGATCGTTTGACGGAAGTAAAAAAAGTTGACTTCTATCAAATTAAGTACACATGGAGATGTTGAAAATACAAATTTTACATGTATTAAAATAAAATAAAATAATTATATTATCAATTATTTTAAAATTATATCGATGATCGTTGACCATGTCTACTAAAATGAAATATCAATGATGAGATTAATATATATAATATTTATAAAATATTGTTAAATAAAAAAAATTATTTAAGACTTAATAATGAAAATAAATAACTTAAATTACTTAATTTTATGTGCTCAGTATTTTCGTATTTTTATTTACCACGGTTCTTTTATTTAATTTATAAATAAAAATAATTTTAAACATTTAAAAGAATAATTATTTACTAATAAAAGTTTGTTAAAGTAGTACAGACACGATTCTTCTAAAAGAAATATCTTTGATTTTAGTTCTTTGTATAAAATATAGTTATATTCCGAAATTTAGTTCTAATTTTTGCTTTGAACAAAAACAAAATTATCTCTTAATATTACTTTTTATATCAATTTAAACTATTTAAATTATATTTAATTAATTCATGTTAACAAAAGAATTTTAGTATAGTTCCACTAGAAAGAAGGGGTGATTGGAAACTTGTCATTTTCCATTCATACAAACATAATTTTAATTATTATAATGCCAATTTTTCCTTTCTCGCATGGTCAATCTTTAAAATGTGGTAAACGTTATTGTAAAAGTAGGTAAATTAAAGAAAATATGATTGGAGATTATTACTTAAATAATATACATAATTTTAATTATTATAATGCCATATTTTCCTTTCGCGCATGGTCAATCTTTAAAATGTGGTAAACGTTATTTTAAAAGTAGGTAAATTAAAGAAAATATGATTGGAGATTATTACTTAAATAATATTTTAACAATTACTTTTGAGAACAAACTAAATTAAATATATATTAAATAGGTATTTATTTTTAATAAAAATTAAAATAAGTCAACAAAAAGTAAAAAAAAAATTAATATATAAAATTGCGGCGATGATAAACATAAGTTAATATATTATATAACTTAAAATTAAATTAGTAAGATGATTTGCTATAATAAATTTAAAAATTACATTATTTATATTTAATTTTTTAAATATTTTATAGGTTTAAGATGTCAAAATATTACATATTTAAAATAAATTTTTAAAATAATTTTGAAGACAATATTTTCAAAAAAATATAATTTTAACTATTTTGAAATTGAGTTTTCTTCAAATTTACATGAAATTCAATTTTATTTTCTTAAATATACTATTTTTTATATCTATTTTTAAAATTATTTTGAGTTATTTTATTATATTTTCATAATTAATTCAACCGATTTAATATTTAGAATTAAAATAAAAAAATAAAAAAATTAAAAGAAATATTCAAACTAAAAGATTGAATAGAATCAAAATAATGTTATAAAAGCTTTTCTATTTCATATGAAATCAAAATAGTGTTATAAAAACTTTTCTATTTCACATGAATATTATGTGAACCTAATTTTTTTTTCAACCAGTATATAAACATGTTTTTAAAATTTAACAATTTAAATTATTATATTTTTATTACATTGT